GGTTGGAACTTTTTTTCTCTCATTCCTCTATTTCTTCTCATATGGGTGTTATGAATCTTCTCATGAGATTTTAAAAATCAAAACTTTATGGGGTAAAAAGCTGGGAATTTGTTCCTTCTTTGATTTCTTGTCATGAGATTTCAAAAATCAAAACTTTATGAGGAAAAAGCTGGGATTTTTGGCTTTCTGGGTAGAGCATTTGTTCATTTTAAAGATTGAAAGAAATACTGCCCTTTCATCTTTCTCCCTAGCTCATCAAACCCTAGTTCTCTAAACCCTACGTTTTCTACAGTGTTTGAATCTAGTAAAACCTTTAGCAGCTCTTTCCTCTTTCTTTTCATTCTGTCTTTCACCATATTCTTCTTGGGTTTCTAAATTTTTTGTTGGGGTTTTGATAGAAATTTCAAAGACTGAAACTTTCTCGAAACAAAAAAAAAGTTGGGGTTTTTGTTTTCTTGCTAGATTTCTCCATTTTAAAGATCAAAAGAAAGATTTTCTTTGTCTGTTCTTTAAACCCAAATAGGTAAAACCCTTAATAGCTATGTCCTTTTTCTCGTTTTGTTTGGTTGTTTGTTAAAGATGCTCCTTTCTTCTCTAGTTTAAAATCCCATGTTCTTCCTCAAATTTCATCTGTTCTGGTTGATTTCTCAGTTAAGATCTTAATTTCTTCATGATTTGATCTCTGCTAGATTTAAGAAGATGAACCAAGGGATTACGGGAGGCAAAGCAAGTAAGTCAAATCAACGGTCACAAGCCAAAGAAAATGCGAAGGCGAGGAAGGTAGCTGAAGCTTCATCACCATCCCAAGTCACGAAGGAACCAACTTTGGAAGAGGTAATGATATCTAGTTTCTGTAATTTTTCTTAACCATTAAATAGGTTTGATTTTATTGTAATTTTTGAAAAACATTTGGTTTAATTATACTGTAGTTGTTCAGTGGCATCATTTATCATTGGGCTTCAGCAAATGGACAAATTGTTGGAGGTGTAATTGACCAAGGGAAGAGAGGTATTTGCTAATTAATTTTAAGAGCATCTTCGTTGGAATAGTGGAAAAAATAGGGTTTTAGTTTTAAAGCATAAACTAATTAATGTAGTTTTAATTGTAGAGATCTGTTGGGCTATATGTCTAGCTCGACTTCTACAGGCTCTATACAACATGGAGCATCCACATGATCAGATCACATTCTCTTTCGATGAGCTCGTCGGTCAGATAAAGCAGGATAAAGAAGAAAAAAGTTTGGGACTTGCTAATCTGAAGAAAGCTTTTGCCCATATTAGTGTGAAGGGAATGTTGAAGACTCCAACAAAAGGAGTTGGAATGGTAAGGGTGGACAGAGGATTGAAATCATGTGAATGACTTCTCCTTTAATAGTTTCTTTTTATATTAAGTATCTAATTAAATTCTCTATGTATTTGAATTTCATAGGTTGGAGATAAGGGAAAGAAGGTTCAAGAAAACTTTCACCTTTACGAAGATGTGGATTTCTCTAACATCCGAGAGAGGTTAGATCGATCTCCGGTTGCATTGCGACTAGAGATAAAAAATAAGCTTTCATCAAATCGTGGGGAGGTTAGTAGTGAAACGATATATTTTCTTTTATAACTGTGAGATATTCAATTTTCCACTTGACATATACAATTTTGGAGTAATTTGAATAAACGGAATTAGCTAGTAAACATAACTCATATTTTTTAATTGTTTTCTCTGGTCTACGGATTTACTACTCATATTTTTTTTTTTTGTTTTCTCTTGTCAACAGATTTACTATTTGCCAAAGAAGGGAATTATTACGAAGAACACGCGTCTACACTGCATCTTACTTATCGGCTACGGAATGACCGAACAAGGGGAGTTATACTTCATTGGCCAAAACTCATGGGGTGAGTTATGGGGACGTCAAGGCTATGTCCGAATCGTCATCAACCACAAATGTGACATCATTTGCCGCAAAGACTAGATGTTATTCAAACTTTTTTTATATGATTATTCTTAGATTTAGAGAAATGGAGGTTTTGCTGGTTTTGAATTGATTAATTTTCTTTGGGCACTTAAATTTAGAAATATGAAACTTTCAAAGAGTTACGTTTTTCTGTAAGAAACAGTTTGGCTTTACTACGATGATGTGATGAAGGTTAAAGATCACAAGTATCTTTAGTTCGATTCTATATACTATTATATATCTCCAAGTAATTTTTGTCTTGATCTTCTCCAAAATCCCCAATTCAAAAGTCACAGCCATTGACGTAACAACTCAATGTCACATGACACACAATGGAAGTTGATAATAATGCAATTGGTGTAGCTTGGTAATATACAGAGACTGAATTCGAGACTTTGGGTGTAAAAGAACTCGAGATGAATGATGATGAAGAATCTAGTAGTAAATCTGATTCATTTTCAGTTTATGAAATTCTGGAATAATGGGAAGAAAGTAGTAAGAAAGAGACTTGAAGTACTTGTAAATTTCAATCTAGTATAAGAAAGCTACGGATGTTGGGGTTGAGCCCTTTTCTAAAGCTACAAGTGCTTAGTCTAAAGTATTTGCATAAACTGAACAGCATTTATATATTGGAATTCATTCTTTTTTCAATACTAAAGAAGGTCGATATGTAAAAAACTGTCCTTTGCTGCTTAAGCTTCCATTAAATTGCACGAGTGTAGAGAACATTGATGAACTTAGCATAGAAATGGTTAGAAGATCTGAATGGGAGATTGGAGCTAATGAGCGATTTCCTCAGAGCTTCTACTTTTCAGCTTCATGAAATCCAAATGTTATATCTTATGTTTCCATCTCCATCTCCTCCAATGAACACAATAGTCGCCACACGAGGTCAAAGGAAGCACTATACCAATGGCAATCGCCATGGATGGACTTGAAGACGAGTTGAAAAATATCATTTTCTCGCAATCGTCTACTTTCTAATTTGATTCTCTTGTGTTCTCGGTTCACCCGCTTCTTTGGAAACGGGAGTAAATCAGTCATGTAAATCTTCTTCAAGAAGCTAGGGATTGGGAAACTTGGGATAGACTCGATTAAGGCAGTCGTAGAAGTAAAAATCAGGCGATGGATCTGTACACTTGACTTGGCAAATTTATACATCTTACATTTGAGTTAAATGCCTATGCAAATACTTAGTCACTTGTACAACTAAATAGCTTTAAAAATGAAAATGAACTCGACATCAAAACATGTGAAATTCAGGGTTCGGAAGAATAAATAGCCATTCTCAATCAACACTTGTCAGGAGCTAATAATGACAGAACCATTTTAACACGCACTGAGATCATAATAACACAACAGATTTGTTACAATGTCTTTAAATGTAACACATAGTGCAAGTTCTTAATAACGTCTTAGTCTACTAGATTTGTTATACAATACGATAAACAACAAATGCCTTATGAAATTCTTCGCCCGATCTCTTCCTTCACCTTGTCTACCTCTTTCAGTTGATATCTTCCATCCCCTTCAACTACCAAAAAGAGAAAGAAAAATCAGAAAAGGAATGTATCATTGCGACCAGTTGAGCAGAACCTGAGCATACTTCACAGTCTATACATACCATTGCGACATTCTATACAAGGAAATACAAACCAGAGTAGTCTAATGCTCTTCTAACCAACTGTCTAGTAGAAACAACATTGTTTCATATCCCATTCACTATATAGCTAATAAGCATAGCACATTCTCACAAACAAGAAACCAGAGGATACGGATCGTAACCATACATACAACAAGTATATGATATTAAGAATGGGATATTAAATACCCTTTTTCACCGGTGAAGGACTTGGTCTGCAAAGGATGGGATACGTCTCGCCTGCACACCAAATGACCTTAGCTTGATATTCCACAAGAGGTGCACTAGGAGAGTCAGACTCTCTCGCAGCAATGGTGATGTAGTACGTTGTCCTGCCTCCAGGGTTGAAATTAGCCCTCAAGACACGCTCGTATTTCAGATTCTTGTCGTTTCGTTTGTTATATTTCTCCACACAAACAGACGCCATGTTTCCGATAAACTCACGAGTGGTCATGCTTTCATCAAATTCTTCATCCAGATCCGGGACTGGAGCAATTCCAGACCATAGGAAAGCTGGGAAATCGTCCGATTCCTCAAAGAAACCCTAGCCCCCAAATACCAGTAATTAGCCATGAGCCAACTAAATATTCAAAGATGATGGTATGGTACCTACCTTGGTTTCGATGACTGCACGACGGTAACAAACGCATTTTTGATGAAATTCCTCATCCGAATACTCCCCATCATCATCAGAGGGCTGATATTCTACGCCATCGAAGCTATCCTTGTCCCAATCGGAATCACTATCCTCCACATCTTCCTCGACGCCTTCGCTTTCACTGGAATCCTCCGGGGTGGAGAATTCGACCTTCCGCTTCCCAAGCAGAGAAGAGGCAACGTCGGTGGAAGTTTCCATCTCGCCTGAATATCCATCCTTCGTCTCGCCGTCGCTTGATTTGTTGGGAGCCATCTCGATTGTTGAGTAAACCCTAAATTCACCTTCAATCTAATTTGGGG